AAATTAAATAGTAAAGATTCATGAACTTGAATAACTTATTTTAATTACTTTGATTAATAAATGTTCTTTATACTCACAAACTAAATTAACGCGAATAAAATAAAATTAAATAGTAAAGATTCATGAACTTGAATAGCTTATTTTAAATATTTAGATTAATAAATGTTCTTTATACTTACTAAGTTAATGAGAATAAACCAATTTCGAGCATATTATTTAAACAGAAGTTAGCATGAACTATTGCAAACAAAATAATTTTTATAATTCATAAAATAAAATTGAACATTATACTTACTCCCTAAAGGATTAAATAATTTTTAAGAATTTCTAATTTTAAAATGTAAAATTCAAATGTATTACCGAAAATTTGAAAATTTGAAAATACTTTTTAATCCACTCTTTGTATTTGTCTCTATTCTTTTCCACACCAATTTCGTACAAGTAACAAATTGCAGTTTTCCTAATTCCCATAGAATGACCAGCCTCAGTAGATTTTAGATAATGCATAAACGCTTTATGCGTATCTATCTCAACCCCGATTCCTAAATAATAGCAATAACCAACTTGATACATTCCGTTAGGATCGTTCATCTCTGCAGATTTTTGATAATGAGTGAATGCCTTTTTCAACTCCAATTCCATATTCGTAACAATAACCTTTGACTGTCAATTAATTTTAGTTGATTAAAAGCATTGTTGATTTGAATAATTTCATCTGATGAATTATTGACTTTTGTATTTGACATTTTTTAAACGCAAAAAATTATAATGTATGTTATAGAATGAATTGGATTTTTAATGTCAGTTATGTTGAGTGTAGCGCATAATACTTCTAAATTTATATAAAGTACCGCTTCAAATATATGTGTGTTGCCAAAAGAAAACGTGCATATCTAAAAATAGATTTTTTGCATAAAGAAAAGCTGGTGTTATTATCAAGTTGGAAGAGGACAGATACCGCGCCAGTATAGTCAAAATAGTAAACCGAAGGGGTGATAAATATGTACACGAATAGAGGTAAGAGAAGTAGTATACGTAGGATATATAAAGTAATGATACGAAATATTGTTTTAAGGTAAACAGAATTAGGGATATATGGATCTTTAAAATTAGATTATTCTAGTAGTTTAACCGGCATGAATATAATCGTAAATGTTATAGAATCTATCTATAGTAGATTTAGTGTATAAAAAGAATATAAATAGAATAGTTTTGTATACAATCGATTCAGTCAAAACCGATAACCTGCTATAATCGGTCAAAAATTGATCCACCAAATTTGTTCCGTAAGTAATTTCTGATAACTTATAGTAATAGTCCTATTATTTCGGTTTCTAATTCTCTCAATAAGATCTGTGCCCATTTCGTGTTCATTCGGACCCAACCCCAGATTCAAATCCTATTCCAGATTCATTTGAACCCAACCAGGGTTCAAATGGCCTATTCCGATTCATTTGTGCCCAGTCCAATACAAAATGAGCTCATTACAGGCTCATTTGAACCCGGTTGGGTTCAAATGAGCCCATTCTGGGTCAGGGACGGTGATTTTCTGTGATTCACAGAAAACCACAGAATTTCTCTTAAACACAGCAAACTACAGAAATCACCCTTAGTTACCACAGAACACCACAAAATTCTAAAAAGTCAAATTCTAAAAACATGGTACAGAAGATCACAAAATTCTAAAATATTGCGGCACTTGACCACAAATTCGCGTCGACGCTGGAAATTCTGGAAAGGTAGATAATAAATTACGAGCAGGTTTGTTGGGAGTTGTGGAATTATATGTTTAAAAAAAATTAGATAAACGCATCAAAACACAGAAATTAAAGAATAACATCACATAAATGCACAGAAATTATAAAATAGCACAGAATCGCACAGAAATTGGTTAAAAATTTTATCACATTAAAACAGAATTCGCAGAATTTGGTCTTAATTTAGGGATTAAAAACTAACTATATCAGTTAAAAACTGGCAGTTAATTACATAAACTAGTTTTAACCAGTTAGATGTAATTAGTTAAATTTAAGTTAAATTAACTATATAGCTAAAATTATATATATATATATATATATATATATATATATATATATATATATATTGTTGTCATTCATTATCACTTATTAATTTTGTTAAAAAAGAATATATAGTTGTCATTCATTATCACTTATGTAAATTTGTTAAAAAAGAATATTACCGTAAACTTTCGTATACAAGACCCAGGTCTAATTCATTTTGCCAATTTTAAAACCAATAATTAGACCCGTGGGTCTCTTGTATGAGTGTGGGTCTGATAATTGGAGGTTTATTCTATTTTATTAGTTTTTCCTATTTGTATACTCCGGGTCTCTTGCATTTTACCAAAGCTTTATCCCATGTTGTAGATCCGGGTATCGGCAGTTTACAGTGGTTTTTTTTTCATTTAAAAATCAAAGATTTAATTCGTATTTACTTTTCATTCCACTAGTCATTTCACTAGTCATTTCACTATTTATATTTTCCTTATCACTTTCGCTATTTTTCTTTTCATTATCTACAGTATAATTATTAGAACATAAAAATTCATTAATAAGTTTTAGAATACTAATCAAAGGCCTGTAGTTTTTTAAAATATCTAATCTTTTAATTAATGTTACGGGGTGAATTGTATCCTTTGATATGAAAATACGAAAATAGATTGTTTTTAGGTGATAAGGCAACTCGCCAGAGGCGTGACGATGGTGATTTAGCAATAGTTTAGTTTTAAAATGATATTAT